ACAGGTGTGTCTTAGCCCCACCTAGATGCAATTAAAATGGTGGCGATCATGAACCGGATCCAGTAATTTCATAAAGGATTGCATAAGTTACTTCAATAGCCAAGGCAATAGGGGTAATTATTATTATTATTATCATGATACATCATAATTACTTTCATTATTTATATTATCATTTTATGATTATTATTACTATTATCATTATACTAAAAATTATTATTAATGTTATCGTTACTATTATTATTTCTGTTACTATTATTATCATGACTATTATGATCATTATTACTGCTATTATCATTATTCGATTTTTTAATTGTTATTACTATTATTGCTATTATTATCATTACTATTATCATCATTATAATTTTGTTAATGATATTATCATCATATCATTATTATATCTGCTACCACTTCAACTACTTCTATCTTTATTATTATCATTATTATTATTGTACAATTATCACGGTCAACAATGTAATTATTATCATTATTATTATTAGCAGTACGATTACTACTACTACTACTATCATTATTATTGTTACTACCATTATTATTATTTTTTGTTGTTATTATCATTATCATTATTATAATTATCATTGTTAATGTTTTTGTTTTTTGTTATAATTATATCATTATTTTTATTATCACTATATTTATAATTATTTCTGTCATTTTCAATATTAGCATTATTATTATATTTTTTATGATGATAATGATGATAGCTAAAACCATTATTATTATCATCATCATTATTGTTATTGCCATTATCGTTATAGTTAGTAGTTGTATCCTAATCATCATTATCATCATTTTGTTGTTATTGATGCTGTCATCTTTGCCGTTGAAATAATAACAGTAATAATAACAATAGTAATGATAATAATGATAAGAATGATGATGATAGCAATATCATTAAAATAGTAATGATAATAATAATGATAAGAATGATGATGATAACATTATTAAAAATAGTAATGATAATAATAATGATGGTAATAATAATATCATTATCACTATCATTGTTATTATCACCGTCGTTGTTGTTATTGCAGTTGTCCTGTTTATTGTAAGTTAGACAAGTCCTCCCAGTCACCCCCTTCGCCATTATCCATTTGTATTATCACTATCAAATGCCGACAGAGGCACTAACACGCGCCTCGCACCTGCAGGAAGCACATGTGAGTGAGGACCATGTCCACGCGGGATGACGAGCGCGAGCCCCTCCTGCCGGCCCCCTGCCACGCCTTCGTCCGCCAGCGCAGCATCCGGCTGCCTAGGAACCGCCACCCGGGCAGCTTGAAGGGGTGGCCGGCGCACTCGGGCACGGACTCAGTGTTGGCCAATGACCGAAGTCCCAGACCGACAGACTTAACCCCGACGGACGCCCGCTATTCCGTTTCGGGTTGCCAGTTCCTTCCTCCTCGGCCGGCGCCGAGCAGGTCCTCTGAGGAGACTCCTAGGCGCCTGAGTCAAGAGGCACTGAGACCGACCATCATCGGCCATGACAGTAATGGCCGCGTGGCGTCGATGCAGCGCCAGGCTCCCTCGCTTAGCCCCCTCAGCGACGGCGCCCTCCGATACCTTGAAACGATCCGGCAGACGCAGCAGTACTCTCAGCTGCCCAGACGCAACAGCTACAAGGACATCGCCCCTACGCGAAGGGGCGCCACGCCGCCGCCTAGCGACCGTTTCAGCAGGCAAAGCGGGTCGCTGAGAGGGACGGTGTCTCGCTATAGCCCCCAGGGGAACGAGTCCTCTTCTCCCAGGGCTCCGCCACCCTCTGCGGCGGACGACCTTTGTTTCAGACAGGTTACTCGAATCACTGAAGGACTCTGAAAGACAAAGAAGGAAATCTGGATCCTCGTCGCCGCAGGGCCCGTGGTCGCCGACCCTCCCCCGCCGGTGCCGCTCCGCCACCAGAGAGCCAGAGTCTCCCGAGCGGAGTCCGTCGTTCACCCAGACCTGGATGCAGAGGCTAGGGAGGAGATCGCTGTCGCCCTCGCCCCGGACACTCACGCCGCAGGGCTCTCCGGTTCTCGGCAGGAGATCCCTTGAAGGCTCCGATACCACCCCAGAAGGGGCGTTCAAGCGGCATGGGAGTCTGCCGATTACTCGGAAACGCAGCTTAGAGAGAAACTGGAGATCCAGCTCCCTGCGGCATCCACGCGCCCCGACCGGAGAACTTAAGAGCAACAGGCAAACCTTGAGTAACTCTTCGCAAAGAGAGAGCGAGGCCTGCTTCGCCCTGCTCCCCACCCCGCCCTCAGATACCGCTTCGCCCCAGAGTCCACTAACCAGTCTGGCCAATACCCTGTCGAACTACACAGGAAGTTCCAGTCCACACAGGGCCTCCGTGTCCTCCTCGCACTTCAGGGACGCGCAGGATTCGGGCTCCTCGACCGGCAGCTCGACCGACGAGTCACCGTCCACGTCGGGCGGAGTCAACGGCTGTGGTAGAAGCAGCTCTTTCGAGGCGGGCTCCATCTCGTCCTTCAAGGTGAGT